AACACTCTGGCTACTCTGATCCTCAGACGCCCTGCCACCTCCCCTCTTCGCCCCCACTGAGACCCAGCTTCATTCAGAAAACGTTTCGCTCGCTCATCCCGGCCTGTCGCTGCTGAGAGAGCAGCTGATGGATGGGCTGCCTGGCAAGCAATCCACAGTCTGATTGATCAGCATTTCACCCGGCATCGATCGATCTGACAGCCGTCGGTTAGTTAAGAGGATCGCAGTCAACCAATGGTGGCTTAAGCTAGGCCATCGCCAGGGAACGTACCACAGATGTCGGGTAAAACACCAGTGTGTAGCGCCTCTCACAGAGGGAGGACATCCAAAGTCGTTGGCAATAGAAAGGGATTAAACACACGACAGAAGGTGCCGGTCACGAGGGGCAGGAAATCCTCACACTCAGCTCCTGATGATACTGCAAGCCTTTAACAGATAGGTTGGTCCTAGCCGGACAAGCAGCTAGGAAAGCTTGCCAGGCAGCGCTCTCAATAGCAGGTGGCGAAGTTTATAACTAATTCAACTCCAGCAGTTACCCCAGCGTGGGGAGGGAGAGGGGGAGCGGGAGGAAAAGAGAGAGAGAGAGAGAGTGTGCATTCTATTTCAATACATGGGAATTTTAATGTATAAGAGGGATAATAATATGAAATATATAATAATCCTTGCATTCGATATAGCGCCTTATCACGTCTCCGAGACGTCTCAAGGCGCTTCATGGGATGAGCTATAAAGTGGAGTGACTGTGTGTTTTTGTTGGTGAAACTCGGCAGCCAATTGCGCCAGGCAACGTCCCGCAAACAATCGGGGATTGAAGTGACCAATTTATCATTACTGTTTATTTTTTGTGAGGGACCGTTATCAGGCGTGTGGAGCGAGTAAACTTGCCCAAGGTTTCGCCCGGGCCGGGAACCGAACCCGGGTCTCTCGCTTGCGAGGCGAGCACTCTTAACCACTGAGCTGCAGGAATCCACGGATAGATACAACTCTCAGTTTGGTTTGGATACTCTTAAGCACGGTGACGGGTTTCCGCCTGAGACAGACACCCAGCTGACCAAATAAGAAGAGAGAGTGGGACGGGCGCCAGGAATGTAGAGAAATGGGATTAAAATAGAAAGAGGGACAGCGCACGGAGCTAGATATTTCGGGCAGAGAAGCTGATCCCTGCAATGATTGTTTAAGGTCTGGTGCAAATGGGTCATTAAAAGAGCAGGCGTAATCCTTCACCCTTACTGTGTGCACAGTCACGGGTCTCTAACCTGCCTTCAGACCTGACACTCAGTAAATCAGGAGTCTTATCAAGAGTCTGAGACTTTATTGCAGCCTCCATCAATATTCTCCATCTGCGCACTGGACTAGCTCAAGGTTTTATGTTGCGTTCATGCTACAAGGAGAGGGGGGGAAGTGGGGGGGTGGGAGGAGGGGGGCAATGGAAGAGGGGAATGGAGGGGGAAAGGAGCATGGGGGAAAGGTGGAAAGGAGGATGGGGGAAATGTGGGGGAAAGAGCGGAAGGAGGGGGCAAAGAGGGGGAAAGGATGGGGAAAGGAAGGGGGGGAAGGAGAGAAGGGAAGGATGGGGGGGAAGGAGGGGGGCAGGAGGGCTTGGGAAGGGGGGGGAATAGGGAGGGGGTGGGGGGAAAGGAGGGGGTGTCAGTTCTATTCTGGCATCTTGATCTAATTAAATTATAGGAAAGGATCTGATGTGATGCAAAAGATCTCCCCGAACGCCTCATTTACTGGCTCAGTAACCAAGACCACGTAGGCTGAGGCAGAGAAGGGTCAGACATCAACCGGGACGCAATGAAAGGCAAAGGACTTTGCTCATCATTACCTCAGGTCAAAAGGAATTTGTTAACAGTCTGCGCAGTGTTGAGCGTCTGGGACCGTATTAACGCAGATCCATCCAGGACCAGGGCTTGTCTTGTTTCAAGCAATTGGATACAGAATCGTAGGATTTTACAGCACAGAATGAGGCCATTCGGTCCGTCCTGCCTGGCCAACAATCCTCCCAATTTAACTCGAGTGGCTTTGGCGGAGACCAGTGTGGGACGAAACGCAGAGTTTAGGGTTGGCTGTGAGGGAGAACCCAGGACTATAGTAATAATAATCCTTTACATTTGACACAGTGCCTCATTACGTCTTCGAGACGTCTCAAAGCGCTTCACAGAATACACTGTAAAGTGAATTTACTGCGTACTTTGTGGGCGAAACGCGGCAGCCAATTGCGCACGGCAGCGTCCCCACAAACAGTCGTGGACTGAAGTGACCAATTTATTCTGCTCATTTCTTTTTGAAGGAATTATTAACCCCGGAAAAGCGATCCGCCAATCGACTAATAACCCGGTTCCTAAATAGAGGCGTGCGGGAACTTGCCCAACGTTTCGCCCGGCCGGGAACTGATCCCAGGTGAGTGCCCTAACCGCTGAGCCACAGGACTCCGCATCCTTGGGAAGTGGATTGATTGGCAGCGATACAGCCTCGGGCTTGGCTTGGTGGCTGCTGGTGGGATCTCCATTAATTCTAACTACCACCGCCCACCCCCCCCCACCCCCTGCTTCGTTCCCTTCCCTCCGAACAGGAGCCGCTGACGCCGATGGCTCCCGGTGTGGCCAACCTATCACTGCGTTGGCTCTTCAGCTCCGCGGCTTGTGACGGCAATGAAATGACCCGGGGTTCGCGCTGGGATTAGTTGTCTCCATGGAAACTGCGGCTCGCTAGATTGCTAGCCGCCCTGATAACACACACACTTTCTCAAGCGACAGCGTGGGTCTCGCTGCCGTCCTGCTGTCCAGCTGCTGACTCCACTGTCCCGCTGACACAGCTGAGCTGACCTCTTCCACGCTCCACCTCCCCCCACCTCCCCCCACCTCCCCTCCCTCCTCTCTGAACCCCTCGTACCCTGACAGACACCTGCCACGCTAATGCCCCATCTTCACGGCACGAGTTGCCACACGCACGCCCACACGCCTACACACACAAGGATGCACGCGCGCGCGCACGCACGCACGCACGCACGCGGATGCACACACGCGCACACTCTCACGCGCATGCACGCACACAGACGCAACACCTGTGCGCACGCACGCACGCACTTGCGCGCACGGCCGATGCCTGACGGGGGAGAGGCGAGAAGCGACCTTCACAGTCACGTTGTGCGAGGGGGGGTGCGGGGGGCGGGGGGGGGGGAACCCGAGCTGTGATTGCCTCAGACTTACACCTTTATAAGTTCTCTCTCTCTCTCTCTCTCTCTCACTCTCTCACACACTGCCCTGAGCTTAATTACATTCCAGCATCTCGTGCTTCCCCCGAGACGCTGAAGCTATTTATAGTAGCAGACGCTTTCCTGGCTCAGCAACGCAACTAACACCTCACCTGCAGAGCTCGTCAGTGACCCACCGCCATCGCCGATTCTTTTTTTAACCGTCGCTGGTTTTTTTTTTATTGAGTCAAAAAAAAACTTTCCGATTGCAGAGAGGCCAGAGGCGGGTGGGCTACGGAGGCAAAGATCGGTCAAGATTCTCGTAGGTCCCGAACTGGACAAAGTCGCGGTGTGGGGGAAGAAGGGTGTGGGGGTGCGGGTCTTGGAGCCGCAACCATTCTGACCCGAGAGACGAGACCGCTACCAACCGAGCCAAGTTAGAATAAAATCGGCAGCGCTCGGAGGGTTAATGTTTCCCGGGGACTTGTCGTTCAGTGGCCGAGACACGTACGGTTCTTTATCTCGTTCGTCTCGCTCCGCCCAACGGCAGGGAGATGGAGGAAGGCGTGAGTTTGGCAGCGGTAGGAGTTTGGAAAGTCCCGCCCGGTCTCATCGAAGCCCGCAGACCCAGGGCGGTGGGTGGAGGGAAACGGTTTAGGAGGGGGCTGCGCGAACCACCTACCCATCGTTTGGACGTGTTACTAATCTCGCCACGGACGCCGGGGCGTAACGTGCGCGGTCTCCAGTCAGGAATCAAATACTCTCGTCGCTCCCGACGCCGAATAGGGTAACACGGCGTGCGGAAGCCCGAGGCCGGGTAAAACGGACACACCAGAGCTGTCCTGTGCCGGTCGCTGAGTCACATAATTAACGCCTGGCATCGGAATGCGAAAGGCAACTTGTCGCGGACGGCCACTGAAACCACTGAGACCTTTCGGACTCGAAAGGCGAGAGGGCTACGGGCTGAGCCCAGGCGGATACCCTGGCTATATAACCTGCTGTTAGAGTAAAATCTACAGCGCTCGGAGGGCTAATTTACGGCCAGGACTTGCTCTTCAGTGGCCGAGACGCGTATTGTTTTTCTTTTAAATCATGATCGGAGTACACCAGTCGTCTCGCTGAGGGGGAAACCTCAACGCATTCAGTAACGTGCTCGGTCTCCTTTAACAGACCTGAAGCCAGCAGTGTGCCCCATTCCCCCCACCACCACTCCCCGCCACCACTCCTCCCCTCAACCCACCACATGCTTTATTATCATTAGACACAAAACTCCAGCTCGTCTTAGCCAGGAAGCCCGTTTTGCTGTAACATTTAAGGTGGAAAACTCGTAACCCTGTGCCATTATAACACTGCAGGTACACCACTGTGTCATTGCGTATCATATCGTGTCCCATTACAATATTGTGCGTATACCATTGTATATATTGTGCGTGTACCATTGTAACACTGTGTTACAATGTATTGTGCGTATACCTTTATAACGTGTGCATGTGTGCGCGTGCGTGTGTGCGCCACCGATCCTAAGGTAAGCCGGGTCTCACCAGACCAGCCGTGTGAGAGCAGACGGGGTTTGAGCTGTAAAAATCGCCGCAAGATTTTCTGCGGGTTACAATTTCAGACCAGGTCAGACCAGTGCAAGGCTACGCTGGGGGCAGAGCAGCAGGGCGGAACTTGTAACACCGAGAACGAAGAGGGGAGAGCAATAGAGAGAGAAAGAGAGAGAGAGTGGCAATGGCTGGATAGGGGAGGGAGAGAGGGAAAGAGGGAGGGAGGCAAGCCACTCGTTGGATGGTCAGCCGGTCGGTCAGTCGTCAGACGGCTTGAGCAAGTGGCCGTTGAAGGTGATGTAGACGTCCAGCTCGTCGCTGTAGATGGCGTTCTCCCGGCCCTGCCGGTACAGCTGCACCCAGACCTGGTCGCCTTCGGCCAAGTCCAGCATCACGCTCTGGCTCTGCATGATGCTGCGCTCGCTGGACTGGGCGTAGAGGATGACCATCGGCCTGTCGTTCCTCATCAGGTGCAGGTACGTCTCCATGAAGTTCCAGGTGTGAACGTTCAGGTCGAAGTAGTAGACGCCGGGCACGTGGCAGTGGAAGGTTCCGGTGAACATGTCGAAGTGCCCGTACAGGTTGACAAACTCTGTGTCGAAGATGAGCTGAGTGGGGGTCTCTCCGCTGTGGACCCCTTTCCTCCGGCCCACCGAGAACGCCGCATACTGATGTTTACAGTTGTGTCCGGCCGCCCCTGCCTTCCCCTTGCTCCCCTTGGCTCCCTGGGGGCCAACGGACCCCCGGGGACCTTCCTTGCCCGTTCGACCCGGGATTCCCCCCTCGCCGTTCTCGCCCTTCGAACCTGCAGGCGGGCACACAGCACAGCACAGTGCAACAGACGATCGGACAACTCGAGGTCAACCAACAAAGCAAAGGAGAATAGGCTTGGCTCATGGGTTGTGGTTCGGTAAATCCTCTCTGTATCTGACACCACAACGGCTCTCAATGTGCTTCAGGAGTACTTGCTGTTGACTGAGTGGAGTGACCGAGCATTTTGTTGGCAACTCAGCACCTAACTTGCACAGCCCAATATCCCACAAACAGCCAACGCGTGGACAATTTATCCGGTTGGGCAGGACATTGGGGGGAGGGACCCCCTTTCTCTTATAGAATATTACCCCAACGCACTCAGGGGGGGTCCCCAAGCCTCGGCTCTTGCTAACCTGCGCCTAATACTCTCCAGGATTAGGTGACCAGGGAGAGAGCATTCCATTCCGACTATCTATCTCTGGGGTTTCCACGTGTAGTTGGGATACATTGGAATTCTCAGTCTGGTTTGGATGCTCTGAAGCAACGGTGATGGGTTTGATGAGTGGGGGGGGGGGGCGAGATGTGGGGAGTTAGAGAGTGGGGGTTAGAGAGTGGGGGGAGAGTAGGGTGTGTGTGGGGGGAGAGTAGGGTGTGTGTGGGGGGGAGAGTAGGGTGTGTGTGGGGGGGAGAGTAGGGTGTGTGTGGGGGGAGAGTAGGGTGTGTGTGGGGGGAGAGTAGGGTGTGTGTGGGGGGGAGAGTAGGGTGTGTGTGGGGGGGAGAGTAGGGTGTGTGTGGGGGGAGAGTAGGGTGTGTGTGGGGGGAGAGTAGGGTGTGTGTGGGGGGAGAGTAGGGTGTGTGGGGGGAGAGTAGGGTGTGGGGGGGGAGAGTAGGGTGTGGGGGGGAGAGTAGGGTGTGGGGGGGAGGGGGGGGGGGGAGAGTAGGGTGTGGGGGGGGAGAGTAGGGTGTGGGGGGGGGAGTAGGGTGGGGGGGAGAGTAGGGTGGGGGGGAGAGTAGGGTGGGGGGGGAGAGTAGGGTGGGGGGGGAGAGTAGGGTGTGGGGGGGGAGAATAGGGTGTGGGGGGAGAGTAGGGTGGGGGGGGGAGAGTAGGGTGGGGGGGGGAGTAGGGTGGGGGGGGAGAGTAGGGTGTGGGGGGGGAGAATAGGGTGGGGGGGGGAGAGTAGGGTGGGGGGGAGAGTAGGGTGTGGGGGGGGGAGAATAGGGTGTGGGGGGAGAGTAGGGTGTGGGGGGGAGAGTAGGGTGTGGGGGGAGAGTAGGGTGTGGGCGGGAGAGTAGGGTGTGGGGGGGGAGAGTAGGGTGTGGGGGGGAGAGTAGGGTGGGGGGGGGAGAGTAGGGTGGGGGGGGGAGAGTAGGGTGGGGGGGGGGAGAGTAGGGTGGGGGGGGGGAGAGTAGGGTGGGGGTTAGTTTCCCAGTGGAGTGCACGGATTTGGGGAATGGAACATTAAAAGCCAAATAACTAGAGAGGATTTGCTGTTCGTCTCGTGATGAGCGCCCAAACACTGTGCTCAGATCGGGCGGAAAGCGATGAAGCCTCTTTGTCTGACGCATTTAACACCCACCCACGGCATCTCAAAGGGAAGGAATTACTGTCAAATGTTGTCTTCCCAGCACCACAGTACGTTCCAGACACAGCCATAAAGTCAATTTATCTGCAGGATAGCTGCCCGAGAAAGCAAATACAAAAAAAAAATCCCCTTTTCTTTTCAACTAGTGATCTCCTAACAGCCATTTGAACAGAGAGACAGGAGCTTATTATCCAAAGGGTGGTATTCAACCCCTTCCACCTACCCACCCACCCACCCACCCACCCACGGCGCTCTGTCAGTCAGTCCGTCAGTCAGTCAGTCTGAATTGTGAGCTGAAAGTCCCAATCCCAGCCTGGAAGCCCTCAACCTTCTGACCCGGAGGCGAGGGAGTGAGCCTGACCAGTTGTCGGCAAAGCAAAACAGAACGAGAGTTCAACGCTCGTTTCAGCCATGTTTTCTATTCATCTTCCCCACCCCCCGCCCTCCTCCAGCAGCGAGAGATGAACGCAGTCATTTTTGAAAGAGTTTTGTTCTGCGGACAGTCGGTTGGTCGGTCGGACACCAGTGCGTTATACCTTTCCTGCGTCGCCACACGCACTTGAAGCAGTGGGAGGTGGGCGGACCTGCATGGAGCACCAGGGCTCCTTGTGATTATAGAGTAACCGCACTCATCAACGTTCACATTCTCGGTCTCAGACAGCGACCTTCAACCCATTGTTCCTTGCCCATTTCTCCCTGACGTCTTTCATCTCCTCCTCAAAGCCCTTTGAGGCTGTCTCTCTCTCTCTCCCTCTCATGCCAAAAAAAAAAACAATTTCAGGCAAAAAACAGCGCTTAAGCAGAACCCCCACTCATTTCTGTATGTCTGGGGTCGAAGATACAATACCCCAAAATACTCCTTTACATTCACACAGCGGTGAAGATGGGGAAAAGGGGGAGGATGCCGATTTCCAGGAACATCTTCGAGTGTCTCCAATCCTTCGGCAGATTTCCTCCCCCTGCACGACAGCCCCTCGCACCCTCCTTGTCTGTTCCTTGGATTGGAAATGATTCAAACAAGTTGTTACGCGAGAGCCTGGCATTCATTAAAACAAGCTGTTTGCCGCTCAGGGAGTGTCTGTGTTAACGACCCCTGGTTATTGCGGATATTTCAGGGCTGATCGGGCCCTCATGGACTAAGATAACACTCCAATACATTGCTGGGGGGAGAGGGTGGGAGAGCACTGTGTTATCTGAGGCGCTGTCCTTTGGATGAGATGTTAAACCAAGGTCCTGTCTGCCTGTCAGGAGGACCTTAGAGAACGCATGGCTCTACTCATAAAGTGAAAGGAGTTTCTCTCTCCTGATGTCCTGGCTGACAATACCGCCCCCCCCAACCCCCCAAATAAAATTGATCAGTTACTTCATGGCTGTTTGCGGGACGTCGCTGTGCGCAAATTGGCTGCCGCGTTCGCCTATGGAATACACAGTCACTGCACTTTACAGTATATCCTGTGGAGCGCTTTGAGACATTGTAGATAAAACGGAGGGGGAATTACTCCCCCCCCCCCCATCAAAAACAAAACCAACAATAGTCAGTGACGGAGAGGGAAGCCGAGAATTCGCCGCGAGTGAGTGAGTTCAAATGGGTCAGAGGGAAAGAAACATCACAGGAAAGGTGAGGGCTGGGCAGCCAGTGTATGAACACCAGCGGGTGGTACCGTGCTCAATACTACAGACGTCAGAGAGCTGGCGCTGGCTCAAACAGTAACCTGCAGGCGTCTCCGTGGCCCGAATAGAATCATTCGTGAAAATGGGTCACTCACGGGGCAGGTGAAAGGAGCTCTACACAAATGTGAGTTGTTGTTGTTGTTGCAGTTAAGGTTACTGAAGCCCACATTGATATATGCCAACACTTCCAGGGGAGGAGAGCAGTAAACCAGATTTATACATCAAAGCACAGCTCCCCTGTCGAATTTGTTCAGCTCGTTGATTGGAAGCACAGCTAAAGAATGTGTCTGAGAGTATTTGCCTTGTGTTGGTGCCAGTAACAGACTGCTTTGTGGGACATTGTTGCAGGCAAAACTGGCTGTCGCGTTCATCTACAAAATACACTTTACAGTAAAATCCCGCGAAGTGATTTGACTCGCCTCGACTTAGGAAGTTGCTCTATCAAATGCAAAGTTCACGGTTACCTTTTGCATTCAAACAGATGAATGTTGTCGTTTTTGTTGTTGTTGTTGTTGTTGTTAGCTATGCTACAGTGAAGTCCTGTAGCTTAGTGGTTCTCGCACTCACCTCACAAGTGAGAGGACCTGGGTTCAATTCACAGGCAGGGCGAAACCTCAGGCAAGTGTCCTTACTCTACGCGCCTGTTTACCTACCATTAAGTAGGAACCCGGATGTTAGTCGACTGGTGGATCGCTTTTCCAGAGGTAATAAACCCTTAACAAAATATATATATAATAAAATTTGGTCACTCAATCCATGACTGTTTATGGGACATGCTGTGCGCAATTGGCTGCTACGTTTTGCCCACAAAATATACAGTCAATTCACTTTACATTGTATCCCGCGAAGCGCTTTGAGACGTTTCAACGATGTGATAAAGGTGCTGTATCAAATGCAAGGATTATTATTATTATTATTATCTTTAAAATCCACAGGCCTCAGTTTGAGTGACTAACCCAAAGGACAGTGACTCCAACAATCTATAGGGAGCATCAGCCTGGACTGTGAATTCAAAGTCACGACGTGCAGGTTTGAACTCACAAGGTTCTGCTGCAAACCGTGCATTCAACACACGAGTAAACAAATGACATAAGAATCTTGTTAACATTCACGTCAGGGCTGGGAGGGAATCACAGCGTTCGGGAGCCCACCTAGAAACAGTAGATGCAGATGCTGAATAAACTCTCATTTCTTTAATCTCAGCACACTGTAATTTCAGCGAGGATATAATGTGTTTGTGAATTCATCCGTTCGAATGCAGAACCTTTTCAATCTCCCTGCTCTCAATCTGTCGCTCTCTCTCTATCTTTCTCTCGCTCTTACTCATTCATGACAGCATAAAGAGTTTCTTCCCCGAATAAGAATTGTGAATTTCACTGATAACACTGCCTGGTTGACGTATAAATGCATTATCCCAACCGTGTGCACTCTTTAACACTCAGTATCATCAACACATATTATTACCATTCCCAACCCAATGACAACATGACACTCAGTCTAATGGAATCTAATCACTGTTACTTAGGGGATGTGTTTGCTTTTGACAACTTTGAGGTCGTAATGTCACCACAGGCATCATTCCCTGTGTGCGAGTGATGTCCAATAATACCTCAGGATCTGGACGTTGGCCTTTATTTTTACTTAAAAAGATATTAAAACAATAATAATGATCCTTGCAGTTGATACAGCGCCTTATCATGTCCTCGGGCGTCTTAAAGTACTTCACAGAATTTGATTGCAAAGTGTTTTTGTAGGGGAACCCAGCAGGCAATTTGTGCCCAATGAAGTATCTGCAAACAGCCATGAAGTGAATGATCCGAGTTTGTTTTGGAAATTGTTTGCCAGGAAACCGTAAGAGAGAGACCATCTCTTTTTCCAACGGGGAGCTTTAAGTCTTCCCCGGATCATGGAACTACTGCAAAGTGAAACTTTCTCTGCTCTGCAAATAGACCTTGCCAGAGGCTTCCAGACAGCCTCCTTGAACAGCCATCGCTTTCAATTAGTCCTATAGTGTACTCGCCTCGCAAACGAGAGGACCCGGGTTGAATTCAGACGAAACCTTAGGCAAGTTTCCTTACTCCACACTCCCCTGGTTACCCAACAGTAAGCAGGAACCTGGTTGTTAGTCGATTGACAAATCGCTTTCCAGGGGTAATAATCCCCACTTGACAGTATATTCTGTGAAGCGCTTTGAGGCGTCTTAACGCCATCATAAGGCGCTGTATCAAAAGCAAGGACTATTATTATTAATTATCATTATTATCGATCATGACCCCAGCAACCTCCCCACCCCGCAGAGCTGGTCCGTGTAAACTAACTGTGGAGGGAGCCTGCGATGTGAATTATCAACTCGATGCTGCGTGTGAAAAAAAAACCTGTAGTAATTCACTCGCTGACTATTCTAGCGGTCTTGTAAATATTTTAAGCACTTTTAAATGGAACATTATTCCTCAGAGACTTTAGTACCAGGTTCATTAAACTTGAGGAGCCTAATGGAGCAGTTTAGCATAGGAATCGATCTCAAGAGAGGGACCAGGAGATGGAAAGGCTCCTTCGACCCATTTAGTATTAGTTTGGCTCGGTTGGCTTGCGCTCTCACCTCCGAGTCAGAAAGTTGTGTGTTCCACCCCCACGTCGGGGTTTTTAAACCTACATAGCTAATTCTCCAACACAGTGTGTGTGGTATGTGTGGGTGTGTGGCGCGGGTGTGGGTGTGTGTGTGTGTGTGTGTGTGTGTGTGTGTGTGGGGGAGGGGTGGGGGGGGATGCTGTCTTTCGAATGAGATGTCAAGCCGTTTTTGCCCTATTCATGTTAGTATTAAAGATCCCTCACCTCTCCTTCCTGCGCTCCGGGACACTGCCCTGTGTGAAGGGCACTATATAACTGCAAGTTGTTGTTGTTGCTAGCTCCCTGTTGCCCGGGCAAAGAAATACTTTCTGGTGCCCATTCCTGAGCCTAAGAATAGGGCACGATTGCAGGCTAACCAGAGACAAGTGAACGTCAACCGTGAACGTCCTGGGACTTCATGTGAACTGATGCTCTGAGACAGCTTTACCCAACAGAAACTTAATAACAATCCTTGCATTTGATACAGCGCCTTATCGCGTCGTTGAGACGTCTCAAAGCGCTTCACAGGATATACTGTAAAGTGAATTGACTGTATTTTGTGGGCGAAACGCGGCAGCCAATTGCGCACAGCAGCGTCCCCACAAACAGTCGTGGATTGAAGTGACCGATTTTTTTTTTTGAGGGATTATTACCCTCGGAAAACGATCCGCCAATCGACTAACAACCGGGTTCCTACTCACTACTGGGTAAACAGAGGCGTGTGGAGTGAGCAAACATTCCCGCCTGTGAATCGAGCCTGAGTCCTCTCGCTTGCGAGGCGAGCGCGGTAACCACTACGCTACAAGACTCTGTACATGTGGGGAGAGAGAGAGAGAGAGATCTCCGAGCTCTTACCTTTCAGGATGGTGATGTCTATGTTGGGTTTAATCTGCGGCAAGGAGTATGTTGGGTGGTCGCTGGCCATGCGGTGGCTGGGTGGGATACTGTACAGAGATCCCAGTTTCTCCGAAGGGCCACAGCAACGGACACACAACGGTCCCATTTTAAAGGGAATTCTTTTGGATGAGCAAACTGCGTCCAGCAAGGAGAGCAACAGGAGCAGCGCTGGCGAACTCATGATCAGACCTGTAAATGATAGTAATAATAATAATTATTATTGTCTAATCGCTGCTCGTAGCTTCAATCCCTCAAATCAGCCTCGGAAGTTGGCTCGTTCATGAAGACCACGGGAATCCGGCTCGTAAGTTAAGACTGAACTAAAACTTCAATTAATTTAGTATTATTTACGATCGTAAATTATAATAATAATAATCCTTGCATTTGATATAATCCCCTCCTCGCCGGTCTCCCATCCACTACCATCCATAAAATCCAACTCATTCAGAACTCTGCTGCCCGCATTCTCACCCGCACGAAACTCTGCTCCCCAATCACCCCAGTCCTTGCCAGACTGCACTGGCTGCCTGTCCCAGAGAGGGTCGATTTCAGGATCCTCACCCTCGTGTTCAAGTCCCTGCACTCCTCTGCACCCCCCGACCTCTCTGACCTCCTCTCTCCTCAGCACAGTACACGTTGCCTTCATTTTGCCTCCGGGTCTGGCCTCCTCCTCGTCCCCCGAGTCCTCCGCTCCACCCTCGGCGGCCGTGCCTTCAGCCACTATGCCTCGAGGCTCTGGAACTGCCTCCCTCACTCCCTTCGTCTCGCTCCCTCCCTTCCCATTTTCAGGTCTCTGCTGAAGACCTTTCTTTTCGACTGCGCCTTTGGTCACCATCCCCCTCCCGTCCCCCTGGCTCGGTCCCGGGATCCTAAACTGTAAAGCACTCTGAGACACTGTCCGGTGTGGAGGGCGCTATAAAAATCCAAATTGTTGTTGTTGATATAGTGCTTTGAGACGTTATTCAGACTCTTCACAGGATATATATGGTAAAGTGGAGTGACTGTGTATTTTGTGGGCGAAACGTGGCAGCCAATTGCGCACAGCAGCGTCCCACAAACAGCCATGGAGTGAACAACCAATTTTATTTGGGGGAATTGTCGGCCAGGACACTGGGAGAGAGAAACTCCCTTTTCTTTGCAAATTGTGCCGTGGGATCTTAAACTTCTACCTGAACGGGCAAACGGGAACCTCATTTTAAATTCTCATCCGAAGGACAGCATCTCAGACATCCCGACAGCATTGCCCTGGAGCGTCAGCTTTGAGTGTGAGCTCAAAGTCCTGATGTGATGAAAGGAACAAATGGAAACGTTGGCGGGCGCGCGGGGAGAGGCGGGCTGTCTGTAATATCTTTCTGACTTCTGTGATCACAAGAAGAGCATTTCCTCTTGGCCTCGGGGGGTCCCACTGTGCACACAGTGAGATGCGAAGCACTCCCGGGCTCCTGCTCGCATCTCTGTGAAAGTCAAATAAAAACACCGAGCCTGAGACTAGTCAACTGTGGAGAGATTTTCCTACATCAAAAAACAAGCGAGCAATCATAATACAACCCTTTAGGAACCATCAGTGATTCGCAATAAGTACACAATCTGATACTCCCTCCAGCAACCCCCCCCCCCCCCCGACCCATCCCTGAAGTAGGCTTTCAAAATGGTATTTTATTCAAATCTGCTTTATGTCTCTTTATTTTTGATTGCCAGCAGTTTGCTAAACATCCTTCAGTTCTTCTCTAGGTCTCACTTGCTCACTCTTATTTCTATTAGGTTTCATCTATCTATCTCTGTCTCTCCCTCTCTCCTTTTTTTTCTCTGCTAAACTGACCCAGTCTGTTTCAACAGGCTGTCGTATTATTGATCTGTCTGCGCTCGATCTCTGCCCTTCCCCAGTCTAAACTCTCTTGGCCAGCATCAATCTGCAATGGATTTTTTTCTCTCTCTCCTATTTCAGCAGCAACTTTTCACTCAACAGCATCCCGAGATGCAGACAACCCTCCAAATAGCGACCTTTATAAACTTCTCAACCCTCCAATTCATCATAGACGCAAAGAGATGTTGCTCACAACTCTACTAAACTTCTCTTCAAATAAGCCATGAGCACCACATCTATTTAACCCCCTCCCCAAAGTCTTGGTTGAAAGTTTCTTCAGATACAGTATATAGAGCACATTATATCAGCACTACACCCCATATGACTAATAATAATCCTTGCGTTTGATATAGCGAAACATCTCAAAGCACTTCACAGAATATACTGTATATTTTCTGGGCAAAACTCTACAGTGCAGTTTGTAGTAATACAGTTTGTAACATTGCACCATAGTCAGACTGTAACACAGTCAGACTGTAATGCTGTAATATTACAAAATGGCAACACTGCAATGCTGTGCATGATGCAATGATTTGCACTTGTATTGGAATTTCAGCAGCATGCGATCTCTCCGTCAGCCCCATTCTATCCATAAAAAGTGACGCATAATAATCACATCTGACAGTAATTAAAAATCATATAAATGAGCGCCACCAAAGTCCAGCAGATGAATAATTTATTGACTCGGTAACGTCCACAGTTATTCACTTTACAAGGGAGAAAGAGACATACTTTACCAGACAAACTGCAAAATTAATGTTTTCAATAATAAAGCCACAGCACTGGTTAATAACTTCAACCTTCCCTTTGGAATGAAGCCAGTGACATTTAATAATACTTTTCGAATAACATTATTCATTATAACATTATACGCCCCCAAAATTGAGTATATATATTTCACTTTCCAACATCAAATTGGAATTTAATGCGGAGAAATTCCACCCAGGTCTACGATTTCACTCTATTTATGAAGCATTTTAGTGTCCCGAATTCTTAAATAGAGCTTTCATTTTCAAGCCGGTTTTCTGTACGTTTATTTGTGGAGTCCGCAGGAAACTGCCTTCTAAGTTAAGACTGAATTCAACAATGTATTGAATTCAACAAACCTGGACACTTGAAAATCCCGCATAAATGGAGCAAATCTAGACTCGGGTGGAATTCCTCCCCCATTGCAGGTTAACATAACTTTATATTTGAACAACATTTATTGTCAGTTACTATCAGCAGTCAGTCGCTTAATTCCAGTCATCATTAGACCCTGCCAGACCTTCCACTTTGAAATAAGGTTGAGACGATGATAATAATAATCCTTGCATTTGATATAGCGCTTTTCACGTCTTCTCGACGTCCCAAAGCGCTTCACAGAACATACTGTAAAGTGAATTGACTGTATATTTGTGGGCGAGACACGGCAGCAAATTGCGGACAGCAGTGTCCCACAAACAGTCGTAGATTGAAAATGACCAATTTATTATTGTTTTTGGTTTTGGAGGGATTATTATTAGGCTCTGTGTGGAGTAAGGAAACTTGCCCAAGGTTTCGCCCTCTGCCTGGAATTGAACTCAGGTCTCTCGCTTGCAAAGCGAGTGCTCTAACCACTGAGCTACAGGACTCCACAATTGAGATATTGAGATATTGAGATTCGGAGTTTGAATAAGATGGTGTAATTGAATAGCCGAGGTGCAGGAGGTGCCAGGTTACTTGGGGCTTCTGGCGGTTGTGTTCTTTGTGAATGGTTCATCAAAGCAACTCAACACTACCTTCAGTTCTTTGAGCTCACAGTCTAGGCTGACCCTCCAATATATAGTGCTAGTGCTTCAGATGAGACTTTAACCCAAAGTCCCGTCTGGCTGTTTAGGTGGATGTTAAAGATCCCAGTGCCTTGGGACGTCCTCCTGACGTGAAAGGCGGTTTACAAATGTCATTTTGTAATTCTGCATTGTATGTTCACTGTTTGGAACAAGTAGGGATTTCTTCCTGGTCTCTTGGCTGACAATCCCACCAGATAAAATTGGTCATTCGCTTCTCATCGCAGTTTGTGGGCCTCTGCTGCGTACAAATTGGCTGCCGCATTCGGCTGCAAAATACACAGTTACTCCACTTTATGGTAAATCCTGCGGAGTGCTTTGAAACATTTCGGGGATGTGATAAGGGGCTGTATCAAATGCAAGGATTATTACAGCTCTGCATTGTGTTCATGATCAACCCTCACATCAGTTCCCAATCATGTCTAGAAAAACAGGACAAGTTTCTCCAAAGCCTCTCCAAAATCAACAACAACAACAACAAGATTCCATTTATAAAGCGCCTTTCACGTCAGGAGGACGTCCCAGGGTTAGGTGGACCACGCAGGAAAAAAAGCACGAGGAGCTCGTACGTTGCAGGTTGCGTTGACCAACAATGTACATCAAGGACCAGCCCATCCATTCACACAGTCACTTAAAAGCCTGCTTACCTGCAGTCGTTTTGGTGAATAGAATCTCGGTCCGGTATTATAGACGAGTTGCCTTGTACACAGTGAGCACCTCCGCCATACACTGCCCACCAGGCATTAGAGAGAGGCTCGGGAACCACAATTCACTTCTGTGGAAGTTAGCGTCAACCCGTGAGTCTCTTCTCTGAATCGGAGCTGCTAGTTTTGGCTCAGAGCAACTTTGCTGCCTTTAGATTTCGTTGTAGACGCACTGTTCTGCAGTGCTCTCACAGCTCCTCCATAACCAGGCATTGTTCAAGATCCAACAGGGAAATCAAAACAGACTGGAATAAAAAATCAGCCCTTGGGCCAAACAAGAGAAGAATGTGGTTAAAAAAAAACAGCTGGCAGTGATTTTAGGGTTGGAAATAGCAACAGCTGGTTGGATTAAAGGGGAAAGGGAAAGAGCAGGGAAATGGGATTGGAGCAATGAGCTCCAGTGGGGGAAACTGACACCACTATGGACTGGATGGGAATAGAGCAGTGGAATGAGATTAAGAGAGCTTCGGTGGGCAGCCAGCACCAACACGGGAACTATAACAACCAAGTTGCATTAGTATGGAGCCTTTCAAGCAGAGAGGACATCTCCAAGTGACTTGTGAGGCCAATAAGGAGGGGCGAGGTGGCCAAAAGATGTCAAGGCTGATATTGAAGATGGGGAGAAGGGGACAAAGCAGAGAGGTTCCAGAGAGTAGGTGCAGAATGGCTGAAGCTCATCCACTGACAG